GTGATCTCCCTATTGGAGAGAGTTCACTATATCTATCCAGCATCAGCACTACCATGCTGTACCCTGGCCATCTTCCTGCCATACTTCATTAAGTGCTACCTCTTCCTGCTTTTTCCCTCGGGTCTGGTGAGATAAATCAAATCAATATGATCATTCCTGGAGAAGGCATCTCAATTGCTTGCTTTATGACTTGATGACTGTATCTGAGACTTTCTAGGCCAAAATATTCCCTCCTGAACACCATTTTCCTCTATGTGTTGTCTTCACCTATTAGGCTATATATGTCCTGAGGGCAGAGATTTTTTTTGGGGGGGCACTCATATTTTAGCGCTTAGTAGAGTGTTTAAAACACATTATGGTGTTTTAAAAAATCCCTTTTCATTCATTTATTTCATATGGAAGGAGAAATAGCTAGTAGTCTAGTATGATTGAAATATAGATTAAATGAAATACAGTAATATGAAATAAGAATGGAAAGTGTGAGAGAGGAATTTCTATTTCTTGAACTGGGTTGCTGGCAGGGTGAGTGACAAGATAGAGAAGGAGGTGAGAGATGTTGTGGAGATAAAATGAATAGTACTTGGCAATTGGTTGATTATGGAGGGTAAAGGAGGGAGAAGAGTCTAGGATGACTCGAGGATTTTAAACCCGGGTGAATTGGAGGATGATAGTGACCTCAACAGAAACAGAGAAGTCTGGAAGAGGAATGGGTTTACTGGGAGGTGCGGGGAAGGTGAGTTCTGTTTCAGACATATTCAGTTTGATTTGTGAGCGAGCCATCCGGGTGAATATGTCCAACAGGCAGCAAGTGGTATGGGGCTACAATTTAGGAGATAAATTAGGATGAATATATAGATTGCGTTTTCATCTCTAGAGAGATGATATATTCACTCAATATTTTATGTAAAACACTTGGTATAGGTCTACTTGATATAGTTGTTGAATACTCTGCCTGTTCATTTTAATTTTATTATTATTTTCCACTAAACTATTATTTCCTTAATCAACACACTGGACTTGTGAATTCTTGACCAGGTCTGAATCTGACTAATTTAGTCCTAAAATGTCTTATCCCACATGTAAGTTGAATTCTGATGGTTTTGGTTGCCTGCCAAATCTCACTTCTTTGCAATGTTATTGTCTCTTTAATCTTAGTGTGCACTCAAATGAAGCCCCAAATGGAAAATCAAATCAGTCAATAAATATTCATTGAGTGCTTACTAGTGTAAGATATTTTGAGGGAGTGAAGAGGATAGTCAGAAAGATAAGTAAAACACCTTGAAAGTCATTGAGTCAACTATCTTCTGAGATGGAATTCTTAAAATTGTCTTCATATTTGAAAATTCATTGTGTGTGTGTACGTGTGTGTGGGGTGGAGGAAGGAATGGGGAGAGAGAGAGAGAGACAGAGAGAGAGAGACAGAGAGAGAGAGACAGAGAGAGACAGAGAGACAGAGACAGAGAGAGACAGAAATAGAGACAGAGACACAGAGAGAGAGAGACTTGGTAAGATATTTGAAGATATTTGACTCTGAGTACCATGTTTCCTAGGTCTTTTAATTATGTTTTATGAATAATGGTTAGAAAATGTCAGAATAAAATTAGATAGCAGGTTCTGAATTTAAAATGATTTGCACTTATGTGTCACACACAGCATTCCCCACAGAGGGAGTGCAGAAATCCTAACTGAATGTTGAAAAAAAAATATGTCATCTTCACCCCAATTTCTTGACACTTTTTAGAAGATCAAGTAACTATTGAAAGTGTCTGATAATTATACCCAGGTGAGGGGCACATCTACTTCTGTTTCTGTGGGACTATAGATTGCTTCTGGGGACACTACAGGAATGAAATGAGAACAACAAATTACAATAATCATACCATGATAGCCAGGGTTTATGTTTCTGGCCTTTAACATCTCTGACTGTTTGAGATTCTGGGGCTTTAATTTTAAAAAGAAAGATCATTTGGAAGCATTAGGACTCAAGGTGAACTTAAGGAGATTTGAATAGTACTCTAGGCAGACAATAAAAGACTCCTAAGGGCCAAATATCAAATATTAATAAAATTAACTATTTTCCACTAAAAGAAATCTTAACTTTCATATGCTTTTCCATTTTTTATCCCCCAGTGCAAGGTGAATGTTTAAAGGAGACATTTTCTTAAGTGATTCAATCTTTTTTTTTTCAAGTGGAAAAAAATCTTTGTTAGTTTGTTAGGAAAATAACTCTTCAATTTCTTTGGTTTTTAGAAAAGGCTACACTTGAAAATATACCATGGGAGAGGAAGCTATTTTTGCAAAGAGATTGGTAATGATAAATTTTAGAGATGGATAAGTAGAAAGTAATCATAGTTAATAATAGCCAGCATTTATGTAGCTCTTTAAGGTTTGCAAAGTGTGTTACATTTATTATTTCATTTTATCCTCATAACAATTCTGGCAGGTAGGCACTATATTATCCCTATTTCACAGACGTAGAAACAGAGGCAAATAGAAATTAAGTAACTTACCCAGGGGTCACACAGCTGGCTAATAAGTTTTTGAGGTTTGGTTTGAACTCGAGTCTTCTTGACACCTGGGTAAGCTAGGTTGTGCAGTTGATAGAGTACCAATAAGGGAGACTCATCCTCATGAGTTCAAATATGGCCTCAGACACTTACTAGTTGTGTAACTCTGGGCAAGTTACTTAACCTTTGTTCACCTCAGTTTCCTCATCTGTAAAATGATCTGGAGAAGGACATGGCAAACCACTCCAGTGTCTTTGCCAAGAAAAACCCCAAATGGGGTCATGAAGAATTGGGCACCATTGAGCAAAATGACTGAACTGAACTTCCTGACACCAGGTCCAGCCTTCTGTTGCCTGCACCACCTAACTGCCTAAGCACTGAGAACTAAATTTGCATTCTTAGAGTAGAATTCAATCTATTCCAATTGAATTATCATTTGTTGAGTGTCTCTTTTGTAGAAGGCATTCTGCTTGGCACAGAGCGTGCAAAGACAAAACAATCTTCACTTTCAAGCATCTTATACTTTACTGGGTGAACACATACCTAAGGAAGGTATTTTATCTCCTCAAGTCTCAGGTTCTTCATCTGTTAAATGGGGATGATACTATATTTACCCTACAGGTTGTTGTGAGGGAAACATCTTAAAGCCCTTTCTAGGTGTGAGTTAGGGAAGAATGAGACATTCCTTTAGAAAATGAAGCCTAGACAGAGAGGAAGATTAAAAGAAGCTGAGTCAACAATCAATGTTTAATTTTTAAAGGAAGGAAGAGGAAGTCAGAATGCAAAAAAGAGACTAAGCATGTCAATAAAGGCAGCAAACTCAGAAAAGCCAGATTTAGGTAAAGTATTAGTAAGTACATTCAATTTATACTAGTAAGTGATGGGATTTGAAGGAAAATTGAAAATGTTTCAGGGAAGCCAATTAAGTGACACTTTGTGGTATTAAGTTACATGATTTCAAAGTCAATTGCAAAGTTTTAGGGAATGGTTAAGAGTAGAAATGATGATCATCCCTTGTAAGCATCATGAATCTTATCTATTGATTTCTTGCTGACCATTAAAAACTTACGTAATTGTGTTCTAAGAGTTTTGAAAACCCATGAAAAAACTTTAAGGGGTAGGGGGAGAACCCTGCAAAAGGCCATATATGCTTGACTTGAAAAGGTTTAAATTTTTTTTTAAAAGGTAGAGAATTTTGCAAGAGGACCAATATATTTGATTAAATGTTTAAAAACTTTTAGGGAGAATGAAAGAATTAAAGCCATATATGCTTGATTCTGAGAAAATTATTTTTCTATTATATTAATAACCAATTATTAAATTGGGGTCCAGGCCTTTTCTTTTTCTATTTCCTCACTTAGGGCCCAGCCCCTGTAGAAGGTCAGTCAGTCTCTGAAGGACACAGCTGATCGATGAGATCACCCCTAACCCTCAGGGGAACATGTTCTTCAATCTTGGGCCAGATTCCAATCAACCAGGATAGAATCCAGTCTGGATGAGTTCTTGCCCCAAGGAGAACAGCCCTATCATCGTACCTCTCCAGCAGAATTTAGGATGACCCAGCTCATGAGGGAGAAAACCAACCAGAGTGGTCTGGATGGAAATGGATTCCTCTTTCCAGATTGCTGGAGATGGCTGAGTCTCATGATCAAGTCATAGACTTCTAGCTTATGTCTTCATTAAATGTCTACCAATCAGAGTTGAATTTCACTTGCCAGGGGCATCCCCTTTTCTAAAAATATATTAAGACTTTCAGGCTCAACGTGGTTTTGTATTTGGTTATTGAGGGAAACCACTGCCCATTAATTTATTAATTATTAGCTGGCCTCATTAATAAATTGATTATTAATTACTCAGAAACTCTGTCTCTCAGGTTTTTCATGTGGATCAATTTAAAGGTTTAAAAAATGCCTCAGAAATAAAAATACTATCCCTATTCTTGTCATTGTCTTTTTAAAATGCAAATGCTTTTATATCTGTACAAATGGATTTTAATTATATGAATTACATGAATTTATATGAATTCATAAAAGAGCAATGGAATGGTGCATCTAGTTGCAGTTGCAGTCTGTCTGTTGATAATATCTGTAGCAATTTCTATTGAAACTGCAGGGTGAAGAAAGCAGTCGTCTTGGTCGCCCTAGTGAAGATAATGGGCAATGCTCCGCCAGCTGAGGATATTCATAGGACCCTGGGTATAGAACTGGGAAGGACTTTAAAGACCATCAAAGCCAACACCTTTTTAAATAAATGAGTAAACTTAAGGCCAGAGAGATTTAGTGATTTTCCCAAGGACACAGAGGAAATAGCTTGGAAGAGTCAAGATTTAACTCAAACAAGGTGACTCCAAGATCATCACTTTTCCTGTGGCATTCTTCACATGGCATTCCATCCTAAACACTCATCAGAGATCTTTCTATAAACACTCAACCCAATTGACATCAACAAACATTTATTAAGTGTTTATTATGAAAAAGACAGTTGCTTGGTGCTGGTGATACAAAGATGAAATCTAAGGCCTCAAGGAGTTTCCCCTCTAGTAGGGGGAGGAGAGCTACACAAATAAATATGGAACACTGAGGTAAGTACATAGGAGAGATTCATCGGAGAGTGATCAGATATTATGGGGAGCAAAGGAGGGATCTATGCTAAAATTGTGAGTAAGGGGATATGTGTTCTTGGAAGAAGTGTCACTTGAATTAAGACAATCTTGTGAGCCTTTTAGGCATCCTCATTTATTCATTTCCATGATCCAATTACCTACAAAGCAAGGATTCTTAGTCTGGAGCTCACAATAGCTTTCAGGGGATAAATTTCAAAATTTCTATGAATTTGTTTCTTTAAAAAATTTGATAACTGTACTTTAATATAATCAATTTCCTTTTTAATCCTATGTACTGTATTTTGTTAAAAGCATTTAAAAGCCTTATTCTGAGAAGGGATCCATAGGCTTCACTAGTTTCCAAAGGGGGTCCATGAAACAAAGGAGGTTGCAAATCTCTCTCATAAAGGAATTCATCACTAAAAAGCTGAAAGTCTCAGGAAATTTCTTTGTAGTAATTTTAAGCTTTGCCTCCTCCCTGAATCCTCTATGATATAAACTCACCCAAACTCTGATATATCCTCTCAGAACTCAAGTATTGAGTCTGCATTACACCATCACACCCTTGCTTGTAATACACCCCACTGGAATTGTTCTTGAGCTGTTCCCAGTCAGACTGCCTGCTCCTCAAGGTCAGGGACCCCCATTGTTTACTTGTTTTCATCTCCGTAGTACCTCCTATATTCACATTAGATGCTTGTTGAGTAAATGGATGAATCCTAATGCTAGCGTGATAAATGGAGATTTGTCTTGCATTTTAACAGAGGAAAAGTTTTGCCAGGGCTACTTGGGATAAATTGTTCTTTATCATCCAGCTGACTGGGTATAGAATGTAACCCTTTCAAATAATGAGATGAATTATTAATCCAAATTAGAGAGCAGTAGGCTGAAGTACTGGCTTTGTGCCTAGAAAGCTTCTCTCCAACCCAGTAAGCATATGGTCACCTGGCTGGGACAATGGCTTTCTGTACAAGTGCCAAAGGCAACTTCACAATGCCCGCTGACATTCTGCCCTTCCTCTGCATCACCAGTATTGCATGACTCTCTCTCTCTCTCTCTCTCTCTCTCTCTCTCTCTCTCTCTCGTTTTGGTCAGCTAACTTTTACCGAAGACTTAGGTCATTAGTCAGTCTCAGTTCAGGTATTTATGAAATAGGAAGTTATAAAGAACATTACTCCTGTCTATAGATGGAGTCGGTAGTTGTTTTTATATTCAGAATGGTCTCCTTTCTGTTCTCCAGGCAGATTCTTCTCCCTCTCTCCAATCCCTCATTGATCTGCCATAATGCAATCCTTCTCTATCTGACTACGGGAGTCCCTAATGGGTTAAACAATAAAGGTGAAACTTCATCTCTAGTGGGTAATGGTTAAAATTTCCATATGTTACCTGGGAACAGCTCTGTAGTCCTCTCCCTTAGCACACTGCGATGATTAATTGATCAGATTACTTAGTTGCCACTTCAGGCCTGAAGGGATCAGATACTGGCCAGGAAAGTTTTAATGAGGGCAGAGAGAACATGGAAACAACAAGCCCTAGGAAGGAAAGTGAAGAGTGGGGGTTGAGGGCACAACAAGGACAGGTAAGGTAGGCCTAGGTTCCCTGCCTACATCTTTTGGTGAGTGGATGCCAAAATTGGAGATGGTTGATTAAAACAACTTTATTTAGGGGCAGCTAGGTGGCGCAGTGTATAGAGCACTGGCCCTGAAGTCAGGAGGACCTGAGTTCAAATCCAGCCTCAGACCAAACACTTGACACTTACTAGCTGTGTGACCCTGGGCAAGTCACTTAACCCCAATTGCCTAAAACAAAAACAAAAAACAACAACAAAAAAACCCCACTTTATTTACTAGATAGATTTACTTAGGTCAACCTTGACCTTCTTTGGGGAAACTGGAATCCATGACGGCAGATTCATTTTACATTTTTTTTTCTTTTTTAGGCAGTTGGGGTTAAGTGACTTGCCCAGGGTCACACAGCTAGTAAGTGCCAAGTGTTTGGTCTGAGGCTGGATTTGAGCGCAGGTCCTCCTGACTTCAGGGCCGGTGCTCTATCCACTGCACCACCTAGCTGCCCCGCAGATGCATTTTAAACAATCAAGTAGAGGTATCTTTTAAAGAGACGAACTTGGTTTACTTCACTGCTGCATTTGACTACTCAGCTTCTTAACTGATTGCCAAGCTGATGTCTTTGTATCTACATTGTTGAAACTAATTTATGATCTTTCAAGTTTTTAAAGATAGTTTAGACAGTAAGATCCTCTATCTTCAAATACAAAATATTTATCCTTATATGCTGACACTTGATCTATTTGAATTGGTATAATTTTTCCCTGGGACACAGGTGATGATGATGATGATGATGATTCTTCAGAGGGAGAGAGATTAGTGGAGCCATTTTCCCTTCTCCATCAGTCCCAGGGAGCGCACACTTGCAACAGGAAGAAAATTGTATAATAAGATAGAGGGTATGAGATCCAGGATTGGTGGCCTTCCTTTTTTCTTCCACTGTCCTGGAGATTCAAACTTCCTACTTGCCTTGTAGGGAATTTGGATTATTGGTGACTGCCATCATGTAAGTGGCATCTGACTTTGAGATTCAATCTTTTAGTTTGTCATATGAGAAATGGGGAGTGGGGAGTTGCTTCCACTGGACCAAGGCTATTAGAAACCAGCCTGCAGAAGAGGCCACACTTTGGAGCAGAGGCAGAGACCAGAACATAAGGAGCAGAGAGGATCTTCATTCCCCAAACTGGTAATTACTGAGACTCCTGTAGTTTGACCAGTAAAGTTAGGAAGAGTTTTCCCCTACCAGCCTTCACCTGATTTCCCTTGGCATAATCCATCACCTGGAGCAAAGGTCCCACACAGACCTTATTCTTATTCCTTATTCTCTTTATGTGACCTGTGAATATCAAGAATCAGGAATTTTCTTCTCAATTCCTTCAAAGAACTAGGAGGAAAAGTGAGAGGAGGTTTTTGAGAGTTGGTTGGAGGAAGATGGTACCATGTAGGAGTGCTAAATGTTTTTTCATTCAGTTTTCACTGTCAAATAATCATTGTGAATGTGTGTGTGTGTGTGTGTGTGTGTTTGGATATGACCAGAGAGTAGAAAGTCCATGTGCAGGATGGGGACTCCATACCTATAGATGTGATATTTTTTTTATTTTGAGTAAATACCATCTTATTAGAGTATGAATTCAGCCAGTGTGGGTTTAAACCACTTAGCATTGCTACTTGAAACCTCACACCTTGAGGTTGTGGCAGGAAGGGGCAGTAGTGGGGCAGCCAGAAGGTCCTCTACCAGAAAAAGGTGATAGTGTAGCTTTTTGTAGGCTAACCCCATATGAACCCATGAAGAGCTAAGATGGCTCTAAGGCTAGTGACTCAAGGAGAACACCACCTGGTAACAACTCAGATGTTTTATACTCCCTTGCTGAATAATTAATACAATGACATGCTGTCATTGTATGGGCTTAAGGAACTTAATTTAGTGTCATATGAGGAACAATATGGTATCATATGTTCATAAAGAATGTCAAAACCAGGACACCACTAACGACTAAAATATTCTTTGAGGATTTTGTAGTATTCTACTGCTAATTTTTATTTATCCAGTACCTTAAGGATTAGTAGCTGGATTCACATATTTCATCTCATTTGGGGTGCCCATCCACCCTCTTAGGTAGCTAGGGCAGGGATTGCTATTTTAATTTTCCAGATTAGGAAACTAAGGCACAGGGACATTAAGTGACTGTCATTAAGTGTCAGAGCCTGGATTTTAAACCAGGCCTTTTGACTCCAGGTCTAATGCTCTTCTTATTATCATAAGTACTCTTTTTTTAATTCCCATATTGAAGGCAACTTGGTAGCACAATTGATAGAGAGCTGGGCCTGGAGTCAGGAAGATCTGACTCAGATACTTATTAGCTGTATGATCCTGGGAGTTCCTCTTACCAATAAAAATCACAGGTCTGATCTCTCCAAAAACAAACAAACCCAAACATTTAAAGCATGTTGTTCTTAATACACATATAATGTGCTGATAATTACTATACAATGTGATATTAATTCTCTGTTCGTATCTGTTAAATAACTATTCCTTATAGTAGAAATTGAGTAGCTGCCTTAGTTGAGTATAGCATACTAGGGTGGGGAAGCCTTCTAGGTCCCTGAGGGCAGCCTTTTGACGGAGTCTGAGTTTTATAGAACAAATCCTTTTATTGAGGGGATTTGTTCTGTGAAGTTTGGATTCAGACAAAAGGCCACACTTGAGGACCTAGAGGGCCACATGTGCCCACCCCTGGAGGACATCAAATTAAAAACTGTCTCTGAAATGAGCAATTAAATGTACATGATATACATGTCAACTAGGTAACATAGTAGATAGAGCACTGAGCCTGGAGTCAGGAAGACTCATTTTCCTGAGTTTAAAATTGGCCTCAGACACTTACTGAGTGACCCTGGGCAAGCCACTTAACCCGGCTTGTCTTAGTTTTGTCATCTGTAAAATGAGCTGGAGAAGAAAATAGGAAACCACTCTAGTGTCTTGGTCAAGAAAACCCAAAATGGGGTCACAAAGAGTAGGACACAATTAAAAAAATGACTGAACAGCAACTGATACACATGTCTAATACTGCCTGAAAAATTCACATGCATAACCAAATGAAAAGAGACCAGATAGAAATATCAAGCCGTGACTATGTATAGGATGCATAGGGAAGGAAATGTGGAGAAAGAAAAGTTATGGATTCCCATATTACAAACACAAGCAAACAAGCAGCAGGCTCTACTGCTGGCACAGATGCAAAGCCAAGACATATTTTCCTAACAGATACAAATATTCAGAGACACAGAGATGTCAGTAGAAAAGTCTCATTTAAAATCTACCATCTGGGCCTAGCTAGAAACTATTTTAGAGTAGTAAAAACAAATGCAAAAGGAATAGGGACAAACAGTTTGCAGAACTATGTAATGTAATGTGTCCAATTCCTTTCTAGTTGCAGGGCTTGCTGGAGGAAGAGTTTTCACATGCTGTGTTGGGGACTTAGGTTGAAACTGAACTCTTTCAAGAGAGCAGCACTGGGAGCAGGTGAGAGGGCCTTGGAAGTTTATAACAAACCACGTGGCCAGATATTTTGTGAAATGCTGGCAGCAATAAAGAAACTTATCAAATACACCATAAAAAGGCCATCATGAGGACCTTGGGTGAAGATAATGAATACAAGACAATGGGTGAAAACCTCCTGACTCTAGATCCAGACTTTTTTCTACTTCTGTACTAGCAGTCTTCTCATCCTGGAGATGTCTCCATGACTGGAGACCCTTCCTCCAGTTGGCCAGTTCCTGCCTGAGGCCAACTTTTAAGGAAGTTCCCAGGTCCTCCATGCTCACTCCTCTCCTGGATCCATTTCTGACTTCAGAATTTTCCACCTTGTCTTGAGTGAGTACTCTCCCCTCTCCCCATTTTTCAGCTCCCTTTTAAATGTTATCTTCCTTCATTAGAATATAAAGTCCTTGAAGGTAGGGATTGTCTCTTTTTGCCTTGTATTTGTGTTTTCAGTGCTTATCATAGTGCCTGGCATATAGTAGGTATTTAATAAAGCTCTATCTATCTGAAGATTGGGCTAATATTTGTCCCATAGGCTAACTGCTATATATAGCTTATATTATATATGATTATGATTTTTGAAGGGCAGCTAGGCAGCACATTGGCTAGAGTGCTGGACCCAAAGTCAGGAAGACATCTTCCCTAGTTCAAATCTGGCCTCAGATACTTACTATCTGCATCACTCTGGGCAAGTCACGTAACCCTGATTGCCTCAGTTTCCTCATCTGTAAAATGATCTGGAGAAGGAAAAGGCAAGCCACTCCAGTATCTTTGCCAAGAAAACCTCAAATGGGGTCATGAAGAGTCATAATGACTGGAATATGACCAAGCAAATCATTTTTGAAAACTACATGGAAGGCAAACTGTAAGATATTCTTTGTAAAGGAGATAAAAAGTTAAAGTATGGCTTAAGGCCTAGTCAAATCAATATAATAATGAGTTGGACTACAATGAGATTTGATCTAAATAAGGTAGGTACAATGAGCAGAATATAAGTGAGTGGCTAAGGGCAGATGAATGACTTTATGTGTGTCAGCATTAATGGGGAGAACAGTAGGCCTAATACCTATGAGGGTATAGGAAACAGCAAAATGCTATCCAGGAAAGCTTTACCAACCTTCACAAAGTATGGGGAGTTTTGGAGAAGATATGGGTTATAATTAATAACAAAGAAAAGGTTAGCTCTTGGTATAGTCAGAAATAAAGCCAATCAACCTGTAGCCTCAGGGTGAAAGACTTAGCAATTAATATTATATATATGTATATATATATATACACATACACATACATGTATGTATGTATAGATAGATATACATAAAATACACACATATGTATATATTTGGAGGGCATCTTAGATGTGGAGAGCCTAGGATTTGCTACTTCTTAGTGTATGACCCCAGTTGAATCTCTTAACCTCTTCAGCCTTTGATGTGCCCACCTGCAAAATGAGGGGGCTGGACTAGATGAAGCATAAGATCTTTTCCTGTTGTAACTCTGTGGACCTACATGGCTTTGCAGTTGCATCTGTTTTCTCTGTCTTCCTGTGGCATCTCTCAGAGAAGAGATTCTCAGAGTTATTTCATGTTTGTCTTTCCTTGGGTTGGATAATATCTCTGTGACTGTGAAGGCAAGTATCTCAGAGATTCAGAAAGGGTAATACCAAGAGAGAATCAGCCAATGATGAGGTGAATGTTGAGGTGGAAATGATGCCCACAGGTGTAACTAATTACTCTGCCTCCCCAATCATTTTTGTTGAGGTAGTTGATTACCTTTCCCTAAGGCTTGGTCCACTTAAGAAGTTCTAGCCTCTGATAATGTGAGAAATACTATCAAGTATATAATTATAATTATGTTGTAAATCATAACATGGTCAGTTTAGAACTACTAAGTGAACTATACATATTTGTATCTACACTTCCTCCCCTCAGTTCAGATAACCTAGATTTTTTTTAAACAAGGTTTTGGCTCCACTCTTAACATTATTTTCATCTCTTAATGTGAATTCAGTTATTATCTGAGCCAACTAGACTGACCATAGGGAGTAATATCAATATTTTAGATGAGATACTGAGGAACCAGATATATTTCTATTAAAGTTACTATCTTCTTGAGAGATCCTGAATTAAAAGGAATGAATTAATTGCATGTCAGTAAACAAACACTGTGAAATCAAGGGTTCCTTTTGGATGGAAAGCATCATTTTATAAAAGCTCTAAATAGTATATGCAACTCTATTTAGCTCTGATGAAGGTTGTTTTCAGCTAAGCGTAATTGTTCAAATTGTCCCATTTCACAACAAATTGCAGTTAAAGTGAGCCAACATAGCACTGGCAAACACTGTTTTCAGCCTTAGACATGCGGTTAAAGCCGTTAATTTTAACAGTAGCTTGTTGCCAAGTTGCTGCAATTACTTGGGTGCTGTAGGATACTTAAGGAAAAAATCTATAAATGCATTTACCAAGAAGACTCCATTGGAATATCTATTAAAAGGAAAGTTTTTCCGCTTTCTTCTATTTCATAGGGGTTATATGTGGCTTCTGTTTTGACTTATTTGGGAATTTCCATGGGATATTCCAAGAAAAGATCATAATGCAAGCTAATGTATGTAGTATCTACTTGGAATCCAGCAGTTCTATTTGGATTATTTTCTAGATTACTGATTAACTCAAATATATGGTGTCCTATTAATTGGTTTACTATGATCATCTCCCTTTTAAACATTATTTTCTTTCACTTACAGAAAGTTGCACAATTTCAGTTGGATCAAGGAATCACCTACTCTGAGGATTCATCATGGTATGGAAATTGTGTTAGAGAGAGGAAATATGATGTAATAGGTACAGCATTGTATTTGGAATCAGGAAGACTTGGGTACATGGAAGAGAGCACTGATCCTAGAGTCAGGAGGACCTTAGTTCAAATCTGACCTCAGACATTTACTAACTGTATGATATTGGGCAAGTTACTCAGCTCCGATTGCCTCCCCCCCAAAAAATTGCCAAAAAAGAATCAGGAAGACCTGTTTCAAAAAACATCTTGGAAACTTATTAGCTTGTGACCTTGTGCACAATCTCTCTGACCCTATGTTTCCTCTTTTGTAAAATGGAAATGATAGTAATAACATCTATATCACAGCCTTGTGAAGATCAAAGAGGATAATGTATATAAAGTGTTTTTGCAAATCTTAAAGTGTGAAATAAAAATAAAGTATTATTGTTATTGAAGGTTGTACCAATTGGGGAAAAGCTCTAGCAGATCCTATCAAGCTGGGAAGGTTTCAAGACAATGAATGGAACTTCAGAAGACTGATGATAACTCATGATTCCTGCCTCTCAACAGAAAAGTGACATACTATACATTCAGAATGAGGTATACATTTTCAGACATGGTCAGTGAGTTGATTTAAAAAAAATTGCTTAATTGTATTTCTTACAGTGAAGACTCCTATTGTGGGTGATGGATAGAATCATTAAGAAATGAAAAAACTACAAGAAAACACTTAAAAGATGAGTATGAGTCCTTAAAAAAGACTGTGTTTGTCATTCAAAGACTAGCATCACTAAATTCAGAGACTTAGCACCAGAAGGTTAGGTAGTGGTGAGTTATCCACTCCCATGAAATCATGACTTTTTAGAAGGATTCTAAAATAGGAATAATAATAATATATTATTATTTACTAAACAATCATGGTTAAGTGATTTGCCCAGGGTCATGCAGGTAGTAAGTCTCAAGTATCTGAGGCCAGATCTGAACTTACTCCCTCCTGACTAAAATAGGAATTACAAAGAACAGCAATGAACTATCTAAACTGAACACATTAGAGAGACAATGGATTATAAAAGAACCTTACTGATGGAGTTATAGATGAATAGATCTTCAAAAAATCTCAACAACCTAAAAAAGTGGATCGAAACTAAACAGATGAAATCTAGAAGGGATCATCATGAAGTCCCATATAAGTTAAAAAGATCAACCAACCAGTTATAAGATTGGAGAAATTTGGAGAAATCATCTGAATAACTAAAAGGAATATATTCACTCACATAAAAACAAAGAAATGCCCACAATTTTCATTTTACGGCAAGTTCAATGTGAGTTAGTGGTGTGACATAACGGCAAAAATATACAGTCTCATGATAAATTAATAGAGGTAGAGTATATATAGCAAGAGTGTTGGTCGTGGATTATAGTCTCGAGGTACTCTATACTAGTCATACTACATGTACAATATGTATACTTTGTGTTCATTTCAATATACCACATTTTAGTGCAGGCATTGGCAACTGAGATGTATCCTGGGAATGATAGAGGGTAACATGGCACAGAGGACAGAGTGCTGGTTTTGAAATCAGAGGATTTGGGTTCAAATCCTTGCTTTGCCACTTACTACTTGTGTGACTTTGGAGAAGCCACTTAACATTTTTTGTTTCAGTTTCCTTATACATAAAATGACTCAATGTTTGGACAAAGTGATCTCTAAGGTCACTTCTAGCTCTAAATCTATGAGGTTATAAGGCTATAATGATTTTAGGACCTGGCAATAATTGGTAGAATTCATTAGTCCTTTTAGAATTAGAAGGCCCTCTCAACCTGTAAGAGACAGCTTTCTTAGCTACAGAACAGAAACAAATCCAGACAAAGTCAGAACTGATATTAAATCTACTTTCCTGCTTCTTTCTACCTGTTCCTTCCAGTCCAGGTCCTTACTTTGAGCTATCCGTGGTACTGAATGCTACCTCCTCATTCCCTCCTGCTCCTACGCACTTCTGGGTTCTGTCATGGTCTGTATCCTACTCTGCACCCTCATCACTCTTGTTTATTATTACCTTTGTCTACCCACCATTCTTGACCTTTGTGGTTGAATGGTGGCAATGTGTTGAGAGTGAGGTAGATAGTTAAAGAAGATTTAATCACCTCGAATTTATAAGCTTGTGAGAATTAAGAAAAATAATTGCCTAGAGTTTAGAGATAGGTTAAAGGGATGGAGGTTTCTTTAAATATGGATCATCATACTTTTATGGATCCATTTTCTCACTGATGTGAATACTCCTTTCATTGGTGTAGATGGAAATCCACTCAGCTCCTCATCTTGTGTGATTGGTGTCCATATCTTTGTCTAAATCCTCCATAAAGGATCAACACTTCATGCTCTCCTGTTTTTATAATGAATCATACAGTCTGTCCATTTGTTTGGTATAGCAGATAAAGTTTTGCACTTGAAGTAAAAAAGACCTGGATTTTGATCCCTTGATGCTAGATGCTGGTGCCTCCTCTCTGAGATTACCTCCAATTTATCTTCTGTATATCTGGTTTATATGCAGTTGTATGTTGTTTCTCCCATTCAAATGTGAGATCCTTGAGGGCACAGACTATTTTTTTGTATTCCCAGTCCTTAGCACAGTGACTGACACATAGTAAATGCTTAATAAATGTTTGTTGACTAATTGACTGACTGACTAATTCTGCCCCTAAGTGGACTGTAACACCTTTGAAAGTAGGAGTGGGTCTTCTTTTTGTTCCATGTTATGTCATGTTACATTCATATTGGATTGTCAATACATTCTGTTGACTAATGTTTGATTATGGATTCAGCTTTTTAACCAAATGTTAAATCTGAAGCAGAACCAGCTATCAACTCTGGAGGCAGTATGATTCTGGATTCTTTTGTGTTCCTTATTCACAGGTGACTTTATAGAAAATTAGAACATATGGATGTAGTATGATTTGAAGGAATCTAGAAAGTTCCTGTCCTGCCACCAAATATCTTCTTGTCAAGATATTACGAGACAGTCTGTTTTCCAGAGGTAAGGACCAGCAAGCAAGCTGTGCCCTGAGCTTGCTATCACAACAATCCTTTGCACTCATCTTCTGGATGATCTCACCCTCTGGCAAAATCACATAAATATTGTATAGCTTTGACCAGCACCAGGTGTTCTCTGAGCTCAGACAAGCACCAGACAAGTTTGGAGAAGTACCCATGTTCTGGTCATGAAGCCCTGCTATGAATCAACCTTGTCATACTGTTGCCGTTACTCCTCATTGTCAACGCTACAGCTCAGTGTGGAGCCATAGGTATAAGTAATGAGATCTCCTACACTAAAGTGGGTCCCCCCACTTGGGGCACATGTGTCCTTGCTTGCAAGCCATTACCCTCACTTTGAAAATAAACTACAGTTTGATTCCTGATTCTCTTGTCTCTAGCTTGCTCTGTTTGGTTCTGGCCATCCACTGGTTAGAGGCTGGTTTGGTCCAGTTGACATTCTCAAATGATAATTGAAATCCTATCATTAGGAAATTATTGAGTTCAGGGGTAAGAAATGTCAAACCCTCCTCTCCAACTTCATTTTTCAGAATCCTTAACAGGCTAGTAGAAATGAATTTATCAGATTTTCTTTCCTGCCTACATAATATAAATTTTAAAAATATGCAATTTGATTTTATAGGGTCATTGACTTGTTAATGCTCTCTTGTTAACATTGATCCTTCTTTTATTTCATTTGTCATTTTTGAAGACTGATTGCCATATTCAATGAGTAATATTATGTAGCTTCCATGAGATATACAGTATTCTATTGGTCTTAGAAATGGGCTGTTTAGGGGGCAGCTAGGTGGCACAGTGTATAGAGCACCAGCCCTGAAGTCAGGAGGACCTGAGTTCAAATCTGGCCTCAGACCAGACACTTGTCACTCACTAGCTGTGTGACTTTGGGCAAGTCACTTAACCTCACTTGCCTGGGGAAAAGAAAGAAAAAAAAAAGAAATAGCCTGTTTAGAGTTTAAAAACTGACTGATAAGATCAGAACATTCCAGGAAAAAGTTTCCCTTTGCTCCTCTGCCTTTTTACTTTCATCCTTCACTCTGAGCCTAAATCTATATTGTAGGCAGAGATCTGAGAAAGAGATGGGGACAGAAAAATAATGGAAAACCAACATTTGGTGGTAATGAAGGAGAAAACATGAGGTTTGCACAAGGAAAACTGTTGGAGAAGGGAAGGAGAAAGTAAATTACTCAGTCTAGGAAGAATGGCTCAAATCATCTAGGTAACTAAAAAGAATATATTCAACTTTATTGATTCAGAAGAATAGAAGGGGGAGAGGAAGGAAAGTAAAGAAGTCTGCTCTTGTAAGTAGTCTCAATTAAAAAAGTTCCAGATCCAGAGTATTTTAGAACTGGAGGGGCCATTCCAGACCATTTACACATTTTACAGAGCAGAAAACCAAGGTCCAAAGATATGATATGATTTATCACAAATTACATAGCTAGCTAGTGGAAGAGCCAGGACTAGAACCCAAATCTCCCAGATCTTAGGTCTGTTCTCTTTCCAGTTAATTATGCTGATTCTTTACATTTTCAGTTTTATGACTTTTGTGATTCTATAAGTATTGAGGTAGTATAGTATAATGATTAGAGAGTTGCCTTGAATTTAAGAAGGCTTGGGTTTAAGTGCAACCTCTGACACATACTGGCTGTGTTACCCTTTTAGGTGCCCCCGGTGACCCAAAACTCTAAATTGCAGAGAAGGTGTCGATTTGCATTGGGTAAAGGAAATTCCTTATCAGGAGATCTGTATACTGATGAAATCACAGGTTCCATGAAAGATATATATGTATATGTATATGTATATGTATATGTATATGTATATGTATAT